TCCAAAGCGCCCGAAATGGAGAATGCCATGCACACGCGACTCGTGTGTTCCATCACAAATTGCTCGAAGACAGACGCTGCTCAAGAGGGTTTAGGGTTTAGGGTTTTTAGGTCTTCAGACCCAAAACCGAGAACCGGTATCCTTCGCGTACATGATGGTTTTTTCTCCGAAGCAACCATGACGTGGCTCAAGCGGTGCGGTCCTCGCGCCTGATCTTCTCCAGCTCAGCGCCGGGCCCAAGAAATCCTGAGCTCTGAAGATTTGGGGGTTCGTTTAGGGTTTAGGGTTTAGGGTTTAGGGTTTAGGGTTTAGGGTTTAGGGTTTAGGGTTTAGGGTTTAGGGCTTCGCGTTTAGGGTTTAGGGTTTAGGGTTTAGGGTTTAGGGTTTAGGGTTTAGGGTTTAGGGTTTGGGGCTGTTGGGTTTAGTGCCGCAAAGCTGGGACTCAAGACCCCCCCCCCTCCAAAGCCCTGAACGCCTTTGCAGCCACAGGCCTTCTAGTTTTGAGGGTTTAGAGTTTAGGGTTTAGGGCTTAGGGTTTAGGGTTTAGGGTGATTGGATACTTAAAGGCAGGGTTTAGGGTTCAGGGTTTAGGGTTTTGGGTTTAGGATTGTGGGCTTGGGTGTGGGTATAACCACCCTAAGCTCGATGAAAGCTCCAAGCCGCAGACCCAAAACCCCAAATCTAGGCTCCCTGTTCTTTGGGCGCTTCAAAAGCAGCGTTTAGGGTTTAGGGTTTGGGGTTTAGGGTTTAGGGTTTAGGGTTTAGAGTTTAGGGCTTAGGGTTTAGGGCCCTTAGAACCCTTGGAATCTCAGGCATCCCGAAAGGACACTGCCATCTAGATAAGCCGAACCACGTGTCTAAAGCCCAAAGGCCCCTGAAGCCCTGCAACCAGCCCTAAAACCCCAAAACCACAAACCCCCTAGACCGGAGCCCTTAAAGCCACCCAAACCAAAATACACGAACCCTAAACCCTAAACCCTAAACCCTAAACCCTAAACCCTAAACCCTAAACCCTAAACCCTAAACCCTAAACCCGCCTGCCAACCCCTCTCGCCTCTCTTGGGTAGGCCGGCGCAGTCGAGCGCTCAGCGAGACCTCGGCAGGCTCAGCAGAGCCTGCCAGGCACACCCCTGAAGGGTCGCCGAGCTAGAGTCGCCTAGCGTTGTCCTAAACCCTAAACCCTAAACCCTAAACCCGAAACCCTAAACCCTAAACCCTAAACCCTAAATCCTAAACCCTAAACCCTAAACCCTAAACCCTAAATTTAAGAGCCTCCGGCTCAAGCCGCCGACCCCGCTGGAGCATAGTTGAAAGGTTTAAACGCGCTCGTCAGCTCAAAGGATGCCAAAAGTTGATTTGCTTGAGCCTCTGTGAAACGTGGGGGGGGGGGGGGGGGGGGGGGGGGGGGGGGGGGGGGGGGGGGGGGGGGGGGGGGGGGGGGGGGGGGGGGGGGGGTGTAGCGGCTGGTGGGTTTTTTCCCAAAGGACCCCTATGTCCTGTGCGAAACGCCTATGGTCCGTGAGTTTATGCGGTGTGGGTGGCCTGGCCCTCCATGGAAAAGCTGCCCGGGTACCCCCGCCCCCCCCCGCCGCGTTTTGGGGGGGTAAGGAGGGAAAGAGGGAGGTTTTCACCTCCTTTTCCCATCCAACACGCCGCCAGGGTCGGCGGACCCTAAACCCTAAACCCTAAACCCTAAACCCTGCACCCTAAACCCTAAACCCTAAACCCTAAACCCTAAACGGACCAGGAGGCCCCTGACAGCCCATGGAAGTCCAAGAGGGCCGCCTGAATGGCCGCTGTCACCCTGTCACGCCTGTGCGCAAAAACGACGGTTTAGGGTTTAGGGTTTAGGGTTTAGGGTTTAGGGTTTAGGGTTTAGGGTTTAGGGTTTAGGGTTTAGGGTTTAGGGTTTAGGGTTTAGGGTTTAGGGTTTAGGGTTTAAAGTTTAGGATTTAGGGTTTAGGGTCTTGCCTTCTGGCCCCAAGCGGCAAACAAGTCCAATCATTGAAGGCTTCCAACTTTGGATGCTGCCTATTGGGGCTTGCTAGTGTCCTAAGTCTCTCTCAAGAGTTCTTAGTATACCCAAGTGTCCTCTGAACCTGTTCGACGTGTGGATTTGGAATAGCTGGGTTTTGTTTCTCCGCAAGTTGTGATTGGGTGGCCTTGGGGTGGGCATGTCTTCACACTGTTGAGTTCAGCTGACCAGTGCTAGACCCTCAACCCTAAACCAACCCTAAACCCCCAAACCCCAATAAACCCTAAACCCTAAACCCTAAACCCCAAACCCCAAACCCCAAACCCCAAACCCTAAACCCTAAACCCCGCAAACTCCTAAACCCTAAACCCTAAACCCGAAACCCTAAACCCCCCAAACTCCTAAACCCTAAGCCCTAAACCCTAAACCCTAAACCCTAGACCCCCCAAACTCCTAAATTCCAAAGGTTATGCGGGCGCTCCGATCTCGTACGCCGGCGCAAATCCGAGCCGATCGCGAGTTGGTCAGGACCCCTTTGGGCCATGAGCCCTTTCGGGCAGTTTAGCGGGGTTTAGGGTTTAGGGTTCAGGATTCAGGGTTTAGGGTTTAGGGCTTAGGGCTTAGGGTTTCGGGTTTAGGGTTTAGGGTTCGGGGTTTTGATAGGCTTTTCGCAGGGCTTCCTGGATGGGATCCTGAGGGCTTTTTGGGTTTTGAGGGTTTCTAAACCCAAACCTAACCCTAAACCCTAAACCCTAAGCCCTAAACCCGAAACCCTAAACCCTAAACCCAAGAGCCTATACCCTTACGGTTTGGGGGTGTCAGGATTTCAAGGTCTGTCGGCTCCAGGGTTGTAGGGCTAAGGGTGGAGCAAGGACCTTGAGACCAAAGCTCTGGTTCGGTTTAGGGTTTAGGGTTTAGGGTTTAGGGTTTAGGGTTTAGGGGTTTAGGGGTTTAGGGGTTTATGGGTTTAGGGGTTTAGGGGTTTAGGGGTTTAGCGGTTTAGGGGTTTAGGGTTTAGGGTTCAGGGTTCAGGTTTTAAGAGCATCTCATTTCAGAGTGTTCTTCAGAATGTTCCGAGGGGCTAGCTAGGACTCTGAGGGAGAGCAGCACATGCAGCAAATTCCCCCAGCGGCTGGAAGCCGCATCCCTAAATCCCAAAGCGTACTGTTTAGGATTCCGGGTTCAGGGTTTAGGGTTTAGGGTTTAGGGTTTGACTTACTGTTTAGGGTTCAGGGCTTAGGGAGGTTCCTGGGTACTTATGAAGTAGGGTAAGAAGTATCCGGAATATGGTAGCAACCAGTGATAAGTTTAATTAATCTGCTCTTCACCCTGCTTACAAGCACCGATGAACTTCCAAGAAGGATTTAGCCGCCAGGGTCTTCAAACCCCCTTAAGGCCCTAAACCCGAAACCTGAAACCCTAAACCCTAAACCCTAAACCCTAAACCCTAAACCCTAAACCCTAAACCTTAAACCCTAAACCCTAAACCCTAAACCCAAAAGCCAAAACCCTAAACCCTAAACCCTAAATCCATTTTTTTTGGTGGCCTGTTTCAAGTATGTCGAAGCGATGAAAGTAGTGTCCTAGAGGAGAGCAAGAGCCATTTCACCGGAGTCCCGGTTTAGGGTGGAAGCCCAGCGAAGAATACCCCAAACCCCTAAAACCCCCCTTACGACCTCCTTACTCTCAACCCTAAACCCTAAACCGCTAAACCCCTAAACCCCTAAACCCCTAAACCCATAAACCCCTAAACCCCTAAACCCCAAACCCTAAACCCCAAACCCTAAACCCCAAACCCTAAACCCTAAACCCTAAGCCCTAAACCCTAAACCCTAAACCCTAAACCCTAAACCCTAAACCCTAAACTGCAACTGGGGCCTCCTCACCAGGAAGGCGCGCGAGCATCTCGGCTTAAAAGCAGTGGCTCAGGGCGCATTGGAACATTTACCATGAGAATCCCGAATAAACTTAGGGATTAGGGTTTAGGGTTTAGGGTCTAGGGTTCAGGGTTCACTAAGCAAAAAAACCCACATAGATGAGCCCTAAGTCCTCAAACCCTCAACCAAACAGCCGCAACCCTTAAGCTGAAAGTGTGAGATGTTGAGCTTTCTTGACCATGTGGCCCGCAACCTGTGCTCGGTCGACCTGGTTTTGGGGGTGGTTCTGGGTCAAGGGCTCCGGGTGACGCATTTGTAAAAGTTTAGGTTTTAGGGTTTAGGGTTTAGGGCTTAGGGTTTAGGGTTTCGGGTCGGGCTCAGGGTTTTAGGGTTCAGGGCCTACTGAGAAAGAGCCACAAGCCAAACAAATACCATAATACTTTCCGTGGCATCCTGCGCTCCGCACCTTATATCCCCGCACCCAGAAGGGATACCACGAACACTTGTCGAGATAGATGCCGATATCTCCGGCTTGTAGTCCCGGTAGGTATAGTGACAGTTCTAATCTGAGCGCCCGATGGTCCGCTGCTTTCGAAGAAGACGAAAGCTGAAGCACGCAACAAAAAGGACGACAAACAGAAGCATATCGGGGCTGCTGTAGATGATGGACCCTTCCTGTGTGAATTTCTTGAGAGAGTATGTACTGTTTAAATTTATAGTTCAGGGTACCAAGATGGAACACACCCTGCCCCAAAACAGATTCTGGGTTCTTCCTGCGGTAGTCAGTGCTCTCCAAGAAGACGATTATCATGCTCTATAAACCCAAACCCTGAACCCTAAACCTGAGTGCGCCTACCTTTGCCTTCAGGCAGTCGGGGGAGATCGATTCCGTCTACAAGGCATCATGTTTTCGCGCTGCGGCACTATATCACACTACCATGCACTACTCATCGACCGCCTTACGGGTGCACAAGCTGTCATTCACCTGCAAAGCAGTCAATGGGTAGTTGCAAGTACGCGGTTATCGGTACCTTACTTCAGCCTTACTTCTGGGAATAAGTCGCCATCTTCGTAGTTGAATGAGTACACGTTCGGCTCCAGCCTGCTCCGGTAGATTCCAAAGGGCCGCTCTGTCCCAGGTGCCTGCCATGTCCCTCTCGCGCGTCGCCCTTGTCGCCCTTGCTGCCGCGCTCCTTTGGGCCACGGTTCGGGGCGATCCCTGCACTGAGTCCTCGCGCTCGCGGCTCGCGAAGCTGATGAACGTCACGGGCAGCCGAAATTCGAGCAGCCCTTGTGCCAAGGGGCGCCGCCCAGTTCACCAGGTTCGGATGTACCGCCACTGTGTGCGATCCACGAGCACCAAGGTGACGGGGGCCAACCCGGATTTCACTCACCTCCAGAACTACACGGACTTGCCGATGCCTGATTGGAACACCCCGCTAAGGTGGTGCACCGCACAGGGCGCCGTGCTCATAGAGAGGGAGGGGCAAAAGCTGAAGCTGCAAGAGCCGAAGATGGAAGTGTCGAAGCTCAGGGTTCTCGTGGACACCGTCCAGCGCGATGCCACGACGGCAAACTCCCTACTTCAGGGTCTGGCTGGCAAGGGCGAGGTCTACACGGCAAGTGTGGCGTACTATCCGCTGCTCTTCAATGCCGTTTCCCCCAACACTGGTGCGGGAGTTTGCCCTGGTCCTGATGCGGAGCTTGTCACGGCGCAGAGGCAGCAACGTCTGGACACGACCCCAATGCCCATGGGCATCGGTTTTGCCCACGGCATGAATCAGACGCGGTATGGGGAAGTGCTGGACCTTTTCGAGAGTCTCTTCGGCATTGGTTCTGCAGGCTCACTGAAGAATTTGACCAACCCACCGATCATTGACAACAAGACAGGCGAGCTGATGGGGGCGGCTATCGTGCTGAAGTTCTTGGCCACGAACCTGTTGTTTGCCTATGCATCCGGCATTCCACACCCGACTCACACACCAACGAGCCAGGAGCAGATAATCGAGCTTGCTTCCTGGATCGACTGGCAGCGCAGGGTGACGGCAGTGCCTGCTTTTCTCACCCCGCAGAAAGCTTGTGGTGCTCTCTCCATCATTGCAGCGCTGCTGGATAAGTCCAGGCACAGAGACGTCATCCATGTGGGGCATGACACTGACCTTGACGCCTTGGCACAGTTCTTCCAGATTACGTGGCAGGCGCCTCCGTACCCGGCATCGACGACCACGCCGCCGGGTTCATCACTTGCGTTTACCCCCCAAGGTGACAACACAGCTTCGGTACATTTCACCTACCAAGTCTTTGACTCGACGGACGACCCTGAGGTGAAGGTCGTCCCCACCGTTCCTTCCCAAGTGGACTTGCTTGAAGTCCAAGCGTTCATCGAGAAGCAGATTATGGAGTTTGCAGGTGGGGACTGCCTCCATAGATGCCAGAGACTCATCGCGAAGCTGTGATGCACGACCGAAGACCGAAGGTCTGAAAAAAGCCTTTTGAGCAGGGCCGCGCACGGAAGTTGTGCGGACATCAAGCGGTGCCTTTTCCGTCCTTTGCCGAGGCAGGGCATGTACAGCAAGCTCCGGCTGAAGCGCTTTGTGGCAGAGTTTCGGATGTACAGAGCACGAAGCACGAAGCACCGCGGAAGGTCCGAACAGACAAGCTGCTGTGTCGGTATGATTCACAACTGCGGTTGCCCTGTACTTCTAGCCCTACTTGTAGGGACCCCCTAAGCCCTGAACGGGTTAGGGTTTACGGTTCCTGAACCCAAGCGGCCCAAAGCCCTCAACACCCGCAGCTCGCAGCCCAAAAGTAGCATGCCACTCCGACTCAGTGCAATTTGCACTCCTCCCACCACCTAAACCCTAAACCCTAAACCCTAAACCCTAAACCCTAAACCCTAAACCCTAAACCCTAACCACTAAACCCTAAACACTGAACCCTGACCCTAAACCCTAACACCCTAAACCCTAAACCCTAAACCCTAAACCCTAAACCCTAAACCCTAAACCCTAAACCCTAAACCCTAAACCCTAAACCCTAAACCCTAAACCCTAAACCCTGAACCCTGAAGCCTGAAGCCTGAAGCCTGAAGCCTGAACCTTTTCGGGCGCAACGGCAGGTGCTGCTTTTCCTGGTCATCGCTGTGATCATGTGGAGCTTTGTGGTTTCTGAGCCGGAGGAGACAGACAAGCTTAAAGTTCTGGTCTAAAGTTTAGAGTTTAGGGTTGAGGGTTTAGGGTTTAGGGATTAGGGTTTAGGGTTTAGGGTGTTGGGTGAAACCCTAAACCCTAAACCCCAAACCCCAAAACCCTAAACTCTAAACCCCAAAACCCTAAACCCTAAACCCTAGACCCTGATCCCTAAACCGCAAACCTCAAACCCCAAACCGTGAGCGAAGTTCTCCTCTATGGTCCAAGGTTCCGTACCTGGAGCATCTGAAGCTGGAGAAGGCTCACGGAATAGGATTTTGGGGGGCTCTTATCCTATATTTATGAAAGGGACCATAGGGGAATACTATTCGGGTTATAAGAGGATATTTTCATACAGGGGCCATAAGGTAATACTATTCGGGTTATAAGAGTACATTTTTTAAGGGACCATAAGGGAATACTGTTCGTAATTCTTCCGACCCCCAAAAGTACTGGTTCCGGTGTTGTACAGCGACTCGGGGTCTGCTTGGAGGTTCGCGGGCACTGAACAAACACAAGCAGGATACATTATAGTCAAATGCGGTGGTTTAAGGTTTAGGGTTTAGCCTTTATATATATATATGTATATATAATGTTTATGGTGCTCAGAACGCTCTACCCTCTAGGTGCCCATGAACCTTCAAGCAAAGGTCGGTTTTTTCGTGCCTTAAGAGTCTTAGGTCCTGGCCTTGGAGGAAGTCGGCCGTTCAAGGAAACCCAAACCCCAACACCGTCAACTGCAACGCAGCTCCTGTCCTCACCCTAAGCCCTGAACCCTACAACTCTCCCCTCTTCCCCCCCCCATAGATATTTTCAAATAGGGGTCATCCAAAAGGCTCCAACCAATTAGTTACCCTGAACCCCAAACCCCAATTCCCAAACCCCAAGACCTAAACCCTAAGCCCCAACACAGCAGCAGGAGAAAGCGGCCATGGGAATTCCACCGACGCCTCCGGACCACGATGAATTCTGAGGACCTTCCTGGACAGAAGCCGGGTTCTGTCGAGGGATTGAGGCCATAAACCCCAAACCCCAAACCCCAAACCCCAAACCCCAAACCCCAAACCCCAAACCCTAAACCCCACTGAGACGACTGGGAGTTGCCAGGCAGCAGCCTGCTGTGTTTGCTGGGGGCAGTAGATGCTGCCCATGCTCGAAAGCCATCGGAGAGTTCCCACTTGCAGACCTTCTGAGGTTTAGGGTTTCGGGTTTAGGGTTTAGGTAGGGTTTAGGGTTCAAGATATGAACCCGAAACCTGAAACGTTCAACCCTAACCTGTGAGACATTTCCCAAACTCATGGCACTCCCAACAGGGTACCCCCCCCATTTTCAGAAACTTCCATACGTTGGGCTCTTGGTTGGGAGGATTGCAGGTTTAGGGCTTGTAAGTTCTCAGGCTCTTGCAGTTTGCCTAGAAGGCGAAGTGCCAGGTTTCTACACCATCGCCCGGATACCTGTGGGATGGTGCGCTGCAGGCGTGTTGGCACTGTGCTACAGTCGAAATTGTACTGCTGCCCGCTCGGGCCAGGAGCAGGATTGCGTTGCCTCATGGTGGTCCCCTAAACCCTAAACCCTAAACCCTGAACCCTGAACCCTAAACCCTAAACCCTGAACCCTGAACCCTGAACCCTAAACCCTGAACCCTAAACCCTAAACCCTAAACCCTAAACCCTAAACACTCTTTGCCGCCCTTGAGCTCAAGGGCCATGACCTGAACGTTCGGCAGGCCCTTCGCGTTCTCAGCACGTCTTTGAGCTTGAGCAGAGACTGGGGGGACGTCAGGAGGCGGTTTGGCAAAGTCCGGTGTCCGCAGCTTGTGAGGGTTTAGGGTTTAGGGTTTGGGGTGTAGGGTTTAGGGTTTAGGGTTTAGGGTTTAGGGTTTAGGGTTTAGTGTATCCCCTCGCCTCCTGCTTCGAGCCACGCGGTTCTAGAACACGCGGTTCGGGTGATCTGTTGCATCGCTTCGGGCTACGTCACCTCACGATTAATGCATGTCGAGGTATGAAGCCCACAGCCGGCGGCGCTGGGACGCTTGCCGGGGAAAAGCCGAAGCCAAGCCGACTTGGGCCCATTTATGCGTTGTGAACCGGATCGCAGCGGACGCTCCTGAATCGCACGATCCTGAATCGCCTGGCCAACTTGACCGTTCAGAGGGAGCCTCCACTAAAGCAGGTCAGCAGTGCTGTCACTGCACTTAGTATATGTTTGCAAGTGCCCATGATATCCCCTGTCGGATTTTTAATTTTTGAGGGGACCCTAATCCCTAATTATATCCTAAACCCTAAACCCTGAACCCTGAACCCTGAACCCTGAACCCCCTGAACCCTGAACCCTAAACCCTAAACCCTAAACCCTAAAGCCCAAGCTTCCCAACCTTCGACTGAGTGTGCCGAGTCAAAGCAGGAGACAAGCTCTCCTCGGCTTTCGCCGCCGCGAAATGCCGTGCCGCCCCTCCCTGGACGACCTGGACATCCTATGCCCGGGCGCCAGGCGAACTAGCCACCAGCAACTGCCTCGAAGCGTTCCTAAACCCCAAACCATAAGCCCCAAACCCCAAACCCCAAACCCTGGACCCTGAAGCCTGAACCCTGAACCCTGAACCCAAACCCTAAGCCCTAAGCCCTCAGTTTGGTTTCTGACAGCTAAGCTCGTATGTTGACCGAGGCCTGATGTCCGTAGTATGCACGAGCAGGCGATTTAAGCTTCAGGAACTTGGAAGCCCAGTTGTACCCTTCTCCCTTTTTGGGTTCTGGGTTCCCTAAAAAAAGTAACCGACCCAAAACAGGGCGCCCCGATTTTAATGTGGTTACTGGGCTACCAAGATAAGCAGCTCTAGTCCCTTCCCCCTGGTATTCAAGCCCCCCCCCCCCCAAAGGGTGTTTGGTATTAGGCTACTCTGCGTATTCTGCAGGACGAGTTCTGCTTGTGCGGCTTGACCCGCGAAGTCGTCGCTCGTTACCTGGAGCAGATGGATGCCAGGTTGCATAGTGCCTCGGAGTCTTCATTTGTTGGAGAACGTGCTGGCATGGGCTTGCTTGCAGTACTTGCTGCCGGAAAACCTCCGGGGCCCGCGCAGTCAGGGGCCGAGCGAGAGCTGGCTGTTGCAGGCCTTGGCTGCAACAGCCCAGGCCGACATGCACGCCGTTGCGTGCCGCTGTCTGGGGCAGCCGGCCGCTGCCTGGCTGGCTGAGAACATGCCGGCGCAGCTCTTCTGGGGCCACCGGCAGCTGCATGAGCACAATTTGTGCGAGTGCGTCAAGCTGGTGTCCGAGTCCGGGGGGCGACTTGGGTTCAGGTTTCTGCTTCAGGCTTCCGACCCCCCCCCCCCCCCCAAGCCACCCTATCGTATAGGGGCGGGCACGGGATCGGGTTTGGGGTCAGGGTGTTTTAGTATTTGGGGTGTTTTAATATTAGGGGAAGGGATTACACCTGGAGCCGCGCTTTGGAAACCAGAAGAGGCAGTCCACTGGTTAGATGAAATATGACCATGATTCAAGGTAGGGTTGCGGGTTGAGGGTTGAGGGTTGAGGGTTTAGGGTCTAGGGGTTTAGGGTTTAGGGTTTAGGGGAAGTGAGCCCTGCACAGAAGTACCGCTGAACCTCCAAGTAGGAGCGTCCATAGTGAGTTTCGGAGGCGACAGAACTCCCAGCCCTAAACCCTAAACCCTAAACCCTAAACCCTAAACCCTAAACCCTAAACCCTAAACCCTAAACCCTAAACCCTAAACCCTAGACCCTAGACCCTAAACCCTAAACCCTAAACCCTAGACCCTAAACCCTAAACCCTAAACCCTAAACCCTAAACCCTGAACCCTAATCCCTCATCCCTAAAACCCAAGCCCAAACCCTCTGAGACATCTAAACCCTACCCCCTAAACCCCCCCCCCCCCCCCCCCCCCCCCCCCCCGGCCCCGCGAGCGAGGTCATGGCGCATCATTGTGAGGCCGCAATTTCGACCTGAGGGTTTGTATCCGAATAGCCAAGAAGTAGTTTTTTTAGGGATTTGGGGGGGGGGGAGGGGGTTTGGGTTTAGGGTTTGAAGTAGGGTTTAGGAGGTTCAAGGTGTAGCGTTTTGAGTTTTGGGTTTGGGGTGTTTTGAGGGCTTCGGGTCCATTTGAAAGTTATGGGTGCTGAAAAGTAGCATGAAAAAAGTAGGGTAGCGAAGTGACCATAACTTGATCATAGCCGAGCTCAGAACCGCCCCCCCCCCCCCCCTTCGGCCATGTTGGATTTCTAGAGGGTTTAGGGTTTAGGGTTTAGGGTTTAGGGTTTAGGGTTTAGGGTTTAGGGTTTAGGGTCCGTGAGCTTCTAGCGGTTCGGGTGATGGCGATGACTCCGGGGACATCAATTCTGGATTCGTAGGCACGCTTGGTGGGAATCTGGGATTTCCTCCTGTTCGAAGAAAGCCGCCCAAAATTGTGATGGTCAGCGGGGATGCCTTGTCAATTAATTTCATAATTAATATTACTTAGAATAAATAAATTACTAGATATATATATATATATGTATAGATTAATATATCAAAATTATTAATATATTCATAAGATGCTCATAAGCCCGGGCAGACGCAGGGAACTGCGCCGTTGAATCATCATCTCGTGTGAATGCCAACCTGTACCCCGACATCGAGGCCTAATATAGGGGTCGGAATAGTTGCTATCATGATTCCCTCAGGGTCCCTCTATAATTCTAGTATAATACTCCCCCCCCCCCCCCAAAAAAAAAAAACACAAAAAAGAACCAGTTCTAGTTATTCAGGCTCCTATATTACCCACGGGGAGGGTGTGCCCCCCTTCGGACACTGAACAGCTTGCAGTATTCTAAAGACTTACTGTTGGCTAGTAGAGAATGGGGGAATGAAAGGGTATATATATATATATATACATAGGGGGATATAGGGTACCTCATTCCCTCATTCCCTACTAACCAACAGTAAGAAGAAAGGGTTTTCGTGACTGCTCGAGGAACCGAAGCCCATCGCTGCAATCGGACGTACGACTCTGACATTGATGTTCTTGGCAGACTCTTCGAGCTCATTCGGCGTGAGGGTTTAGGGTCTAGGAGTAGGGAGAGGTTGGCAAATGTTGGTGCGATGTGGTGCGGACGGTCTCTTGCGCAAGCGGCATCATCCTAGACTTCAGCAGCAGGACGGTCACATCATACTTCAAGTTTCATGGCGCCATGGGTGGAGATAGAAGTACCCCACACAAAGTCAAAGGCACCTATTCGCCATCTACGGCTACCCTTCTCATAGCCCTACATAGTAGCTACTATTTGCTTAAGAACCCCAGAAGAACATACCACAAATAATCCCTATATTACCCTTATAAGGAAGAATATGTTTTGGGCCGGGTTCTCAAGCAATTACTAGGTAAACCGTAGCATGCAAGCCTTCAACGCGCCCGTGTGGGTGCATGGTTTGCGTGGGGCGCGGGCGCAACTGACGGCCTCGACTGCGTCGCAGAGCTTTGCATCTGAGCCCTTGCCGCAGCTTTAGTCAGCTGTCGCCTGGTGGCTTTGTTTAGGGTTTAGGGTTTAGGGTTTGGGGTTTGGGGTTTGGGGTTTAGGGTTTAGCTCTCTTCCTAGTACCAAGCACAAGGATGAGACAACTTCTAAGCACAAATGAACACCCTATAGCCCCAAACCCCCAAAACCTGAATCCATACCTGTAAGATTAAACCTAAAGCCCGAAACCCCCAAACCCTAAAACTCTGAAAGCCCTACAAAGCCTAAAGCTCTAAAACCCTATCACCCTGAACCCTACACCCCAAATTCCGAAACCCTAAAAATCAAAAAGCCCTGCCCTAAAGCCCTAACCCCAAACCCTGAAGCCCAAAACCCTGAAGCCCAAAACCCCACAAACCTCTCAGTCCGCGCCGGACTCCACCCTGACCCTAAACCCCAAACCCCAAACCCTAAATCCTAAACCCCAAACCCCAAACCCCAAACCCTAAACCCTAAACCCTAAACCCTAAACCCTAAACCCTAAACCCTTCTTCTTCCCAGGCCACTCCTCGGTCCAACTCTCGCCTCCCGGCCCTCTCCCTGGCCTTGCTGGGGGCGGCGAGGCTTGCTTCGCCAGCGAGGCACACGGGGGGTTTAGGGTTTAGGGTTTAGGGTTTAGGGTTTGGGGTTTAGGGTTTAGGTTTTAGGGTTTAGGGTTTAGGGCTTAGGGTGGGACAGCTAGGGGAATCAGGGTTCAGGGTTTCAGGGTTTAGGGAGTAGGTCGAGGGTTTTGCGGGTTTAGGGTTTTGTGTTTTTGCTTTTGGGTTCTAGGGCCTAGGGGGTTTGGGGTTGGCAGTTTTCAGGGTTTAGGTTTTCTGGGGTTAAGGGTTTGGCACAAAAGACGCGAAGTCAGCTAGGCCCTTGGGAGGACTTGGCGCCCTTTCTTATTGGAGTCAAGAGGGTGATGTTTAGCAATCTTGTTCGGTGGGATGCCCTAAACCTTATAAACCCTAAACTCCAAACCCTAAAACCCTAAGACCCTGAACCCTGAACCCTAAACTCGAAACCCTAAAACCCTAAAACCCTAAACCCCTAAAACCCTAAAACCCTATATCCCTAAAACCCTAAAACCCCAAATTTACTAAAGCCCTAAATACCCTAATACCCTAAAACCCTAAAACCCTAAAACCCTAAAACCCTAAAACCCTAAAACCCTAAAACCCTAAAACCCTAAATTTACTTAAACCCAAAAACCCAAAAACCCGAAAACCCTAAAACCCTAAAACCCTAAAACCCTAAAACCCTAAAACCCTAAATACCCTATAAAACCCTAAAACCCTAAAACCCTAAAACCCTAAAACCCTAAATACCCTAAAACCCTAAAACCATAGAACCCTAAAACCCTAAACCCTAAAACCCTAAACACCCTCAACCCTAAAGCCCTGTGAGCTTCCACCCGGCCAGGATGAGCCAGGGACCATCGAGGCGAAGCCGGGACGCACAGCGCCTCGTGAGCACGGCCGCGAAGGCGCTCAAGGGGCTCTTACACTTGCACCCCCTAAGGGTGGCAGCTTGGGTGTCCTAAACCCTAAACCCTAAACCCTAAACCCCATACCCTATACCCTATACCCTATACCCTATACCCTATAAACACGAAACCCTAAACCCTAAGGGGTACGAGTCTTACCCCCTTGAGGTGCGCCCCTATGGAGCCACTCGGGCTTCAACGTTGGCTGCGATGAGGGGTTCAGGATTTACGGGTCTAGGGGCTTAGGGTTTAGGGTTTAGGGGGCTTAGGGTTCAGGGCTCGGGGGTTTATGGATTTAGGGGTTTATAGGGTTTTGAGGTGTAGGGTTAGGGTTGAGGGTTTGGGGGTTTAGGGTTTGTGGGTTCGTGGTTTGGGGGTTGGGGGTTATACGGGGAAAGTGCCCTAAAGAAGGTTCTCGCCTAACTATAGTGTAGCTATGGTCACCCTACCTGCAAGCGTACTTGCATACCCATTCACTCAACGGGCTTAAATACAGGTACCATCATAGGAGAAACAGGCGTACAGGGTTCAGGGGTTTTAGTGTAAATAGCATAGGCCCTTTCTTCTGGGAACCACCGTTCAGCCCCAAACCAGAGTCCCCAAAGCCTGAACCCAAAACCCGGAGCACAAAGCCGGAGACCCGAAACCCTCAAGCCACCAAACCCCAAACCCCAAACACGAAGCCCTAAACCATAAACCCTAAACCCTAAACCCTGAACCCTGAACCCTAAACCCTAAACCCTAAACCCTAAACCCTAAACCCTAAACCCTAAACCCTAAACCCTAAACCCTAAAAACCCTAAACCCTAAACCCTACCCTGAACCCTAAACCCTAAACCCTAAACCCTAAACCCTAAACCCTAAACCCTAAACCCTAAACCCAAACCCCCACCAACGAACCCCAAACCCAAGGAGTGGATCTCCCCCATCACCTCGAGCCTGATCACGGCCGGTACCGTGAAGCTGGGCGCCGTGACCTGCGGCCCCGACGGCACGGTGCATCCTGGGCCATCCTTTGGTTCGTAAACCCTAAACCCTAAACCCTAAACCCTAAACCCTAAACCCTAAACCCTAAACCCTAAACCCTAAACCCTAAACCCTAAACCCTAAACCCTAAACCCTAAACCCTAAACCCTAAACGCTTTGAGGCTTTTCTAGGGAATTTTGGTGGGCCTGCTTTTTTTTAGGGGGGGTCTTGTGTGGGTTTTGTTGTTGTTGTTTTTTTTGGGGGGGGGGGGGGGGGGGGGGGGGAGGGGTTCAGGGTCTTGCCTCGGGCTGTTGTAGAGCACTTCGGATTTTACGTAGTTTTCGCATTGTTTGGGCTGTTGTCTGCTTGTTTTGGGGGGCGAGGGCTTGGCGCTTGCTCTCCCAATAGGCTGCAGGGCTGTTCGTGTCTTAAGTTGTTGATTTTTTAGACGTTTGGGGCTGTTTTGTGCTGGGCTGTCGTTGAGGTGCTGTTGGGCCTGTGAATTCGAGGCTTCAGGGTTTAGGGTTTATCGGCGTTTGGGGTTTAGGGCGGGGCACTGGTCTGCAGCATCATCGTCAGGTTAAAAGCACTTGACCTTCTACATCTAGAAAGCAGAACCGGAAGTCAAGCATTCAAATCCCTAGGCCTCACTAAGCCCTAAACTCTCAATCCGAAAAGCCATCGCCCCCTCATCCTCACTGAGCTCTTAGGTATTGGTTGGAGGGACGCCCCAAGGAGGGTGGGCGGCAGGCCGGGTGCGAACAAAACCCCGGACTTTGTCATAGTGGGGTAACATTGTACATTGTTAAGGGTACTTAAACTCAATAAGGAAAAAGACTTACCCCCCCTCAACCCCGAGAACCCAGACCTACAACCCTACAGCCCTGAAAACCAATCTAAACCCCTAAGCCCCTAAGCCCCTAAGCCCCTAAGCCCCTAAGCCCCTAAGCCCCTAAGCCCCTAAGCCCCTAAGCCCCTAAGCCCCTAAGCCCCTAAACCCTAAACCCTAAACCCTAAACCCTAAACCCTAAACCCTAAACCAGTCTCGGAAGGGAGGAGAGTGCTCTCTTTTGGTGACCTTGGCATAGGGCCTCTGATGTTTGGGGCTAGGGTTTAGGGCTTAGGGTTTAGGGGTTTAGGGTTTAGGGTTTAGGGCTTAGGGTTTGGGATGTGCCCCAAAACAGAAACCCCAGCACCACCCAGGAAGAGACATCTACTGCACATGCCAAAAAGATTCCGATGATAGTATACCGACACAAAGCGTTTTGGGTTTAGGGCTGGGGGTGTATGGCATACTCTACCAGGTACATCTTGTTTGTTTTTTGGGTGTTAGCCCGCAAGTCCAAGATGTTCCCGTCGCAGTGCAGCATGTACAATAAGTGGGTTTAGGGTTGAGGGTTTAGGGTTTAGGGTATAGTGAACCGTTATAAGTGCCTGCAGCCTTCTTGAGGGTACTTACCTGACGGATATGTGCCCTGAACCCTAAACCCTGACAGTAGGTCTTTCAATAAGACGGAGCCGGGGGGTATGTTTAGGGTTTTGAGGATTTAGGGTTTTGGGCCCCCAAATCGTGACCCTAAGCCCTAACCCCTAATCCCCAGTCCCTAAACCCTAACCCCTAATCCCCAGTCCCTAAACCCTAAACCCTGAACCCTAAACCCTAAGCCCTAAACCAACCCTAAACCCTAAACCCTAAACCCTAAACCCTAAACCCTAAACCCTAAACCCTAAACCCTAAACCCTAAACCCTAAACCCTAAACCCTTGGGTTCTCGGGTGTCCTTCGCTGGTTCGGCCAGGTGGTCTGCTGCAACCGATCGGGAAAAACCGACGTCACGCCGGCGGAGGTGAACGCAAGAACGCGGGCCCCTTCGGCGGTTTATTGTAGGGTTCTTAAGGGAGGGGGGGTTTTCATGAGAGGTCGGTGGAGAACCTTCGGGAAGCCAAGGGAGCCTTAGGGAGTAGTGAGGAGCATGAGGGAACCTTGGGTTACATAGCCCCCCTTGAAGCCTCCTCCCCCCCAAACCCTAAACCCTAAGCCATAAACCCTCAAGACGATTTTTTCTGAATCTCCCAAGATATTTGTCTAACAGCTGACAAACAGACTTTGAGCAAGTTAATCCAAAGCGGCTGGGAGGCCCAATGCGCAGTTTTCTTGATCCGGGTGGTTCTTCGTCGGAATGAGGGGCATGAGGGCCTTAGAATATACCCTTTTAGGGATTACAATAGGGCCCTCATTCCCTCATTCCCTACTAAGAACCAGGGGGGAATCCTCTTCTGGAACCCGCAAGCCGAGTTGAAGTCTAGTAAAACCCTACTTGGAGGTTCATGGGTACTAGGGTGCAGGGTTTCCAGTGCCCAATATCACAATCCCTATGAAGGGCTGTTAGCGTAAGGGGGAACAACCCTAAACCCTAAACCCCAAACCCTAAACCCTAAACCCTAAACCCCAAAGCCTAAAAAGCCTGAAGCTCGAGGTGCACGAGTATGGCGGAGTTCCGTATTGGTTTGGTCCGGAGGGGACGGACATGATCTATGCGAACTTCAAGGACCAGAGGTGCCAGAGTCGGGCGAAAACGGTCTTAGGGTTTAGGTTTTTCGGGTTTAGGTTTCTTGGGTTTAGGGTTTAGGGAGATTGGGCGGGGGGGGGGGGGGGCTTCGAGATTTAGGGTTTTGGGGTTGAGGATTTCTTGGGGTGCATGGTTTCTAGCTTGGTCAAGGGGCCTTATAACAAGGTTTGCAAATGAGATCCAGGCGAAATGAAGTGTTGCTGGTCGTAAACCCCGCAGCAGACCTATTCCCCAAACCCAAAACCCCAAACCCGAAACCCCAAGCTCAAACCCTATACCCGAAACCCTGTCAGCCCAAAGTGGGAGTGGAAGCTTTGCGTGCGAGGCTTTACTGGCTGAAGGGCGATGGGGAAGAGCCACTTTGCCGCTCGCCGCTTTTGGTTTTTCGCGTCCTTACTCCGGGTTTCGCGTTTAGGGTTCAGGATTTCAAGCTTACGAAGTAGGGTTCAAGGTTTGGGGTTTAGGCGCTTTGGACCTGCGCAACGCCTCACATGCTGTAATTTATAGCATGCGCAACCTCTTTACAGCAAAGACTATAAAGACTGGAATTGTCACGGCTTTAAGCGCTTTCAATCGCTAACGTACGCTGGCATGCTTTCTAGACTATCCAGGAGATGGAAATACCGCAAACACGGCATACCATTTGCAGTGTGTGAAGCCTGTCTTTGTCATAGTGGATTTTGCATTTTTAAGGGTACTTAAACTCAATACGGAATAGAACGATCCCAACCATGAACCGGCTGTGAACAGGCAAGGGGTGGATTCGAGCCAGACCCAAGAAATGAACCCAAAACCCTAAACCCAAAACCCTAAGCCCTAAGCCCTAAACCCTAAACCCTAAATCCTAAACCCTGTTGCAGAAGACGAAAAAATGGAATCCGGGGCGCCGCCAGAAGCAAAACGACCTGCCCTTGCGCCGTTTAAGGCCCACATTGGGTTTAGGGTTCCCTAAACCCTAAACCTTAAACCTAAACCCCAAACCCTGAACCAGTAAGGTACCGAGCCCTACCCGGCTTTTGATGCGTCGGTTGCTCGCTGGTTTGCCTGCTCTCTATGGACCCCTAACCTCAGGGCTCACGAATGCTAGCCTAGTCCTTGGCTGCTACAAGTAAACCCTGACAACCCTGAACCCTACGCCCTGAACCCTAAACCCTAAACCGGCCCGCCTAGCTTTAAGTCCATGCCATGCTGCGCGTCTGGAGCGTTTCCGGGCAGGAGCTAGCTGCCGTGCAAGCAGGCGACACTTTTGAAGACGTGATCTCCTTGAAACGCCACTTGCGAAGCCAGCATGGTGTCCCAGTCTGCCTTCAGCAGCTCCTACAGGGCGGCTGCTGCTTGGAGGATCATGCCTCTCCAGTCGGACCCGCTGACCTGCAGCTGGTGCTGCTCTCCGCCCTGAGCTCTGAGCAGATGCCGCAGGCTGAGCGCGAGTTTCTTGAGTATGCGGCCGATACAGGCCATGTGGAAGTGGGCCGCGCTCTGCTGGCAGCTGGTGTCGCTGCAGACTCACAGGACGGGGCCGGCCAGACTGCTCTCATTTTCGCATCTTCCCAGGGCCACGTCGAGACAGCGCGTTTGCTGCTGGACGCTGGCGCCGACTAGAACTTGCAGAACAGGCTAACGGGCCAGACCGCTCTGCTGTACGCGTCTCGCAAAGGCCATGTCGAGATTGCACGTTTGCTGCTTGAAGCTGGCGCTGACAAGAGCATGCAAGAACTGTTCGGCAAGACGGCGCTCATGCTCGCATCTTCCGAGGGCCACATCGAGGTTGCACGTTTGCTGCTGGACGCTGGCGCAGACACCAACTTGCAGGACAGGTTAACCGGTCAGACCGCTCTAATGCTCGCAGGTCGCAACGGCCACGTCGAGATAGCCCGTCTACTGCTGGAAGCAGGCGCCGACAGGAACTTGCAGGACAGGTCCGGCAAGACTGCGCTCATGCTGGCATCTTCCGAGGGCCACGTCGAGATTGTGCACTTGCTGAGAGCCGAAACGGCTAAGCCCTAAGCATCTATGTGCGGCCCCAAACCTCCCAACCCTCATCATTACCCTAACAGCCAGCAACCGGAATCCCTTAATGCAGGGCGTCCTCCAGGCAAAGCCATCTAGGGGTAGCTACGTGGTTTCTTACTAATTATGGGCCCTGAAAAAGGGGACCCCCTATAGACCATATTAAAGGCCCATGTAACTTCCCTTAGAAACCAACCTGGCGAAAGAATCCCCAGCCAAAGCTTCGCCCCCAACCTTCCGTTGCGGATTGTATGGTTTGAGGTTCCTAAAGCCTCAAAAAACCCCAAAACGCTAAACCCTCCCCCCCCTCTTCCCTCCCCCCCCTCTTCCCTCCTCCCCCCTCCCCCCCTAGAGGTGGGTTAGGGATGGTTAGGGTTTAGGGTCCCCCTCTTCCCTCCTCCCCCCTCCCCCCCCCTAGAGGTGGGTTAGGGTTTAGGGTCTAGGGGTTCAGGGTTTAGGGGTCCCCAGCCTGGACTGGTTGCTGCTCTCTTTCTTGGAGCCTGCTTGCTGATTGGGATTTTTGCAGCAATGAAACTTCTTAGCTCCTTTGAAGCCCCGGCAAAAGCCCTTCCAACCCCACGTCCGACTTCCCCCGGATTAGGGTTTAGGGTTTAGGGTTTGGGGTTTGGGGTTTAGGGTTTCGGGTTTAGGGTTTAGGATGAGAAGCCCAGGCATCACCCCCGCGAGCGCCTACGAGGAAGATGTTCGCTACCGCTTCGCGGACTGCGTGCTGGACTTGCAGCGAAACCGATTGACCCTGGCTTCACATTCACACTGGGTTCAGGGTTTAGGGTTTAGGGTTTAGGGTTTAGGGTTTAGGGTTTAGGTTTTCGGGCTTAATTAGGGCTGAATTAGGGTTTCGAGTTTAGGGTGTAAGGTTTAAGGTTGGGAAAGTCAAGGATTTGACCCCAAGGTTGTTCGTCCTCAGCTTGCATAAGACATGCTGAACAAACATATTCGGATGTTCATGGGTACTGATAACCCTGATTTCTGACTTGAAGAGGAGATGGAAAGCCCCGGAATCAAGAAATCGAGGGGCTCCTAAACCCTAAACCCTAAACCCTAAACCCTAAACCCTAAACCCTAAACCCTAAACCCTAAACCCTATACCCTTTACCCTAAACCCTAAACCCTAGACCAGGAGTTGCCCTGTTTGGGAGGCAAGGTGGAGCCCCGAGTCCCTGAGCAGTTGGCTTTCCTGGTTGCAGCCGCGAGCGGAGAAGTAGACACAGTGGAGAAGTAGGGTTTGGGGTTTAGGGTTTAGGGTTTAGGGTTTAGGGTGCCATGAGCAAGCTTTTGAAATGTTGCAGAACCTCTAGTTGCCCGATTTAGAACACCGCTTACGTAGTGCCCGTGAAGATCCACGTCATTGGGAACTCCTGGCTCTCTTGGGGCCAGGGTTTAGGGTTAGGGTTTAGGGTTTAGGGTTTAGGGTTTAGGGTTTAGGGTTTAGGGTTTAGGGCTTAGGGTTTAGGGTTTAGGGTTTAGGGTTAGTCTAGACCATGTTCTTGAATCGCTTAGCTTCAGCGAGGAGATCTTAGCTTCGAGTCCACGCCATGCTGCGCGTCTGGAGCGTTTCCGGGCAGGAGCTAGCTGCCGTGCCCGCAGGCGACACTTTTGTTGAGGATGTGACGCACTTGAAGCGCCGCTTGCGAAGCCAGCATGGTTTCCCAGTCTGCCTTCAGCAGCTCCTACAGGCCGGCTGCTGCTTGGAGGATCATGCCGCGCCGGTTGGACCCGCTGACCTGCAGCTGGTGCTGCTCTCCGCCCTGAGCTTTGAGCAGATGCCGCAGGCTGAGCGCGAGTTTCTTGAGTACGCGGCCGATGCAGGCCATGTGGAAGTGGGCCGCGCTCTGCTGGCAGCTGGTGTCGACAGGAACATGCGCGACAGGTCCGGCCAGACCGCTCTCATGCTCGCATCTTCCAAGGGGCACATCGAGCTCGAGCGTTTGCTGCTGGGCGCTGGTGCCGACACGAACTCCCAGGACAGGTCTGGCCAGACCGCTCTCATGCTTGCGTCTCGCATGGGCCACGTCGAGATCGCACGTCTACTGCTGGAAGCTGGTGCCAACAAGAACAGGCAGGACGTTTGTGGCATGACAGCTCTCATTGTCGCATCGTCTTCGGGCCACAGCCAGATTGCACGTTTGTTGCTGAACGCTGGTGCCGACGCGAACAAGCAAGAAAGGTCCGGCCAGACCGCTCTCATGCTTGCGTCTCGCATGGGCCACGTCGAGATCGCACGTCTACTGCTGGAAGCTGGTGCCAACAAGAACAGGCGGGACGTTTGTGGCATGACAGCTCTCATTGTCGCATCGTCTTCGGGCCACAGCCAGATTGCACGTTTGTTGCTGAACGCTGGTGCCGACGCGAACTCCCAGGACAGGTCTGGCCAGACCGCTCTCATGCTTGCGTCTCGCATGGGCCACGTCGAGATCGCACGTCTACTGCTGGAAGCTGGTGCCAACAAGAACAGGCAGGACGTTTGTGGCATGACAGCTCTCATTGTCGCATCGTCTTCGGGCCACAGCCAGATTGCACGCTTGTTGCTGAACGCTGGTGCCGACGCGAACAAGCAGGAAAGGTCCGGCCAGACCGCTCTCATGCTTGCGTCTCGCATGGGCCACGTCGAGATCGCACGTCTACTGCTGGAAGCTGGTGCCAACAAGAACAGGCGGGACGTTTGTGGCATGACAGCTCTCATTGTCGCATCGTCTTCGGGCCACAGCCAGATTGCACGTTTGTTGCTGAACGCTGGTGCCGACGCGAACTCCCAGGACAGGTCTGGCCAGACCGCTCTCATGCTTGCATCTTTCTGGTGCCACGTGGAGACTGCACGATTGCTGCTGGAAGCTGGTGCCGACGCGAACTTGCGGGACAGGTCCGGCGACACCGCGCTCAATTTCGCGTCTCGCAAGGGCCACATCGAGATTGCACGTTTGCTGCTGGATGCTGGCGCCGACAAGAACATGCAGGACAAGCAGGGCGCGAACGCTCTCATGGCTGCATCTTTTTGGGGTCACGTCGAGATTGCACGTTTGCTACTGGACACTGGTGCCGACAAGAACATGCAGGACGGGTCCGGCATGACAGCTCTCATGCTCGCATCGTCTGAAGGCCACAGCGATCTTGCACGTTGCTGCTGGACGCTGGTGCCGATGCGAACTTGCAGGACAGGTCCGGCACGGCCGCTTTTATGCACGTACGACGAGACGTTACGTTTGGGGCACTGCTCTTGCCTTAAACCAGCGAATTCTAAAACAGTGCTGTCGCCGTAGGAAAACAATGGGCTCTAACTGTATTTCGGGTATTTCTAAGCACCCATGAACCTTAAAGTAACCTAAACCCGAAACCCGGCCCTAAACCCTGAACCCTGAACCCTCAACCCTCAACCCTAACCCCAAGCCCTTTACCCTCTACACCCTTATCCCTAAACCCGCAGGATGTGCATTGAAAAACCCCTTGAAAGCCTCGAAGGGACCCTCCAGAAGCGCTGAAGGCTTTCAAGGGCCTCTACCCTTGGAATGTCTGGGGGCCCTTAAGTCAAAGAGGAAGAGATCGGGTTTAGGGTTTAGGGTTTAGGGTTTAGGGTTTAGGGTTTAGGGTTTAGGGTTTAGGGTTTAGGGTTTAGGGTTCAGGGGCCATCTTCGGGGTCAATTCGACTAGCTTAACCTGCGGAATGCAACGAGAGCGAACTGAGGATCTGCGTCCGGGAGGACCACACCACCAAGGACGTCAAGAACACCATTTGCGCTTCGCCGCTTAAACCCAAAACCCTAAAGCCCGAAAGCCCTCATCCCTAAACCCTAAAGCCGAAGCCCTGGAACCCTAGAACCTAGAACCCTAGAACCCTAGAACCCTAGAACCCTAGAACCCTAGAACCCTGAGAGTCCTCCAGTACCATAACCTTCAGGGTCCAAGGTTCAGGGTTCCGGGTTTAGGGTTCAGGGTTTAGGGTTTAGGGTTTAGGTAGGTACAGGTAGTACAGTTGTCAAAGTCTCAGAGAACTTGCTTGCAGAGAGTGCGGAGCGAGTTCGAGAACAGAATCCCCATTGGGCGAAAGGCTTTGATGAGTTTAGGGACATGGGAGCCTAAGTAACTGCCGAAACACTGCCAATCATATCCACCTCGAAACCCTCTTTGCCTGAAATTTAAAATGCCCGACGGAGACATGTACCCGCAAGCCATATAAAAACCCTAAAGCCCCCGAACCCTGAAACCTTGAAGCCCTAAAACCCTCAAACCCTAAAAGCTAAAACCCCAAAGGCCTGAAAACCCCTAAAGCCCCTGAACAACCCTAAAGCCCCTAAAGCACCTAACCCTAAACCCTAAACCCAAAAACTCAGGCTTTAGGGTTTAGGGCTTAGGGCTTGGGGTTTAGGGTTTGGGACTTAGGGTTTTCCCTAAACCCTAAACCCTAAACCCTAAGCCCCCTAAGCCCTAAGCCCTAGGGGTTTAGGGTTTTGGGGATTCCAAACCGCGCCTGAGAAGCATCTCCCAGGTGCGGTTTCCCTGGATGGAAGTGGCGAGATGGTCGTCTTGGCAGAGGGCTGTGATGCCCGGCTTGTCTGTTTGGGGTGCAGGGTTTAGGGTTTAGGGTTTAGGGTTTAGGGTTTAGGGTTTCGGGTTTCGGGTTCAGGGGTACTTACCATCAGGCAGGGCTCGAAGTGCCCCAGTTTGTTGTGACTGTCGTTGCCCTGCAACTAGCTCGCGAGCGTGCTGCTGCAAAGAATCCATGAACCTTCAAGTAAGCCACAGAGCATATTATGACACATGACACCTCATTCACTTAATCATGCAAGAAGGATGGGGTTTCGGGGGGAGGGGGGGCGGGGGTGTTCCCTAAACAAGGCCCTTGTCGAAGGGGACCCTGAATAGAGAGGGTGTCTAGGGTCTAGGGTTGAGGGTTTAGGGTTTAGGGTTTAGGGTTCAGGGTTTAGGGTTCAGGGTTTAGGGTTTAGGGTTTAGGGTTTAGTATACACGGATGATTACCCATCCTTGGTTGTGCCCAGCCCCTGTGAGCACAGCAGGAAAGCGCTCTACTCAGCAGGAGGGACGTGCAGGCCTTAAGGGTTTAGGGTTTAGGGTTTGGGGTTTACGGTTTAGGGTTTAGGGTTTAGGGTTTAGGGTTTAGGGTGCATTCTTAGGACTTCTACGCGGCGCCGCAGCTCCACCCCGATGGGACCCAGCTGGCCTATATCTGCTGGAGCGGCCCCGAGGGGTTTAGGGTTTGAGGTGTAGGGTTTAGGGTTTAGGGTTTAGGGGGCGGGGGTGTAGGGTTTAGGGTTTAGGGTTTAGGGTTTCGGGTTTCGGGTTTAGGGTTTAGGGTTTCGGGTTTCGGGTTTAGGGTTTAGGGTTTCGGGTTTAGGGTTTCGGGTTTAGGGTTTAGGGTTTCGGGTTTCGGGTTTAGGGTTTGGGGCTTTAGGGTTTAGGGCTTTGGGC